AACTCTTGACCGCAGCCGTGAACCCTAACCCTGAAGCATCCAACGCGAAAGGTAGAAGGAGACGACAGGCCGAAAGTCAAGAAGGACCACCGGCATTGGGCCAAAAAATGTAGACACGTCAACAGAAACCAGGCCGCCAAGAGAACACACACACGCACCGCAACGCACAACAACGCCATGCCAACGTAATCACACAAACTCGAAACAATTAAGTAGGTCAGCAGTATTGTGTCCATCAGGCGCGGCTACATAACCACGTCGCGCCCACTGGCGTAATCTTCGCGGCCCGTTAATTGCAAGAAAAGTCCCATGAAACATGGGTCGACCTTGAGGCCACTTTCGTCGATCTGGCAAAGGTCTACAACACAATGATGAATGTCATGCTTAACTTGGAATGCAAACTTTGCCTCCATTTCTGGTAAGGTGCTTGAGCATGTGTATTGCTCAACTGCATGGACTCGCATCACGGACACGGACTCTCTTCAGAAACAGAATTCGGATTCCGGAAAAACCATGCAAACACTGGCATACACTTCGCGGCCCGTCAACTGCAAGAAAAATACCACGAATAATCACACAAACTCGAAACAATTAGGTAGGTCAACAGTATTCTGTCTATCGGGTGCGGCTACATAACCACGTCGCGCCCACTGGCGTAATCTTCGCGGCCCGTCAATCGCAAGAAAAGTACCACGAAACATGGGTCGGTCTACAAGCGACTTTAGTCGATCTGGCAAAGGCCTTCGACACAGTGATGAACCTAAGGAATGTCATGCTTAAATTGGGATGTATGGAAAGATTCACATCACCGGAAGGGGGCAGTCTTGGAGGCATGTAGGGTTGACTTCAGGCCTTGCAATGAGATTGGTCAGACCCGCACCTTGAGTCCTGACCTCGTGCAAATCCCGCAGTGGCGATATACCCAGCTACCCCTGGTGTTTTGATGTTGATTAAAACCACTTTTCAATTTTCCCGCCTGGTTTTAAGGTCAGAAACGCACTCATTCGAACATTTTCTGCGAAAATGCAACATTCTTTCGGGCGTTAACCTGTTATCGTGCCCCCCTCACCGCCGTTTATCACCACCAATGGAACCACTATTACCATCGGCCCCGTATTACACGGTGACCGGGGTTTTGTTCCTTGGCTGGGGTTGCATACTGCATCTTTGCACAGCGAGATTGGTGTGGGGTTCATTTTAGTCCATGTTGAACGCCGGTTAAAACACGACCACCCTCTTCTCTGCGTTGATGCTCTGGAGCAGCTGGAAGCTAGGAGATGTACACTTCGTTACAGCGCCGTCATCCGCAAGGACGAGATCGTGGACGCTCTCCCTGAATAACCTCGAGGATGCCTTCGGAGGACAAGTGTTCAACAGTTTCCCGTCGGTTGGGCAGTCGACGTAGACCCCTGGTCGCACCTCATGGTAGGCATCCACCGGCACAGCACTAGTGTGGGCAGCCACTTGTGATATTTCGTTGCCTCATCGCATAGTCAGCATGGCGGCTCATGGACGGTGTGCAATTCCAATACCAAGTTCCGCAGCAATGCACTCGGTCGTTTCTGAAACGTTCTTAGTCTATGGGAGAGAATGTGACATCCTTGGTTGTGTCGCTGTTGAGTCCTCTGAGGATGACTACGCAGGCAATCGCTTAAAAATTGCCTTCGGATAGTCATTCTGCATGGACTGGTCGCGGAGATAACGGTCCTCATTTGCCCTTTCTCCCGAGTTATTTAGCATCTCATGGGTCTATTCCATTATATGCTAATCAGTAATACAGCACGGTCCGCAACCCCTCGTAACACTTCACCCTTCCTACCTATGCATACAAACACACCAGGCTAGACGAGAACCTATGCTACAACACTCTCATACACGCCACCTAGCAAAAAGAGGTCACACAACACATATGCAGCATGTGTGTGATGCCCTCAGACGAACGAATTGCCTTATGCGGAAATTTGTACATCCCACTAATTGCGTGAGAATAACGTATTTCGGCGAGGCCTGGCACACGTGTGGTAAAGGTCGGCTGCGGTATGGTACGTGTAGAAGGGGTGGGGAGTTTTGTCCTTCACTGAGTCCAAGCTCATTCTCAGCCCACCAGAGGTGCGTGGATGAGAGAATATGTGAAAAGTATTAGGCAAATCTGACTTTTATACATCTGTCAGGGTGTGCTTGAGAAGTGGCCAAATGAGGCACTAATTCAATCCTACTCGTAACCGAGAGTCAGAATTTCGTGGCTCTCCATCCTACTCCCCTTATGACACCCTCACTTATAGGACGCCGGAGGTCTCTCCGAATGCACAGTAGGAAGAAGGCAATACAGGCGTAGATGGTCTGCCCATCTCTATCAGATACTGCCCACCGCTTTGGACTTTTAACCAACAGGCCGAGATTTCGAGCCGCGGGTGGGGGGGGAGGAGAGTTTCATACCTTGGGGTTGGGCATGGCTGGCTGACGACTGCAAACGAGTCAGAAGTGGCCATTCCATCCCACTCCATATTCCGCGCTGACGCATAGTCTGGCCAAAGTGATTAACCACTCGGGGAGCACACAGGCGGGTGAGCCAGGTTGCCGAGCCATCATCACGCCAGCATCAAACACGGGTGATGGGATTTCGGCAATCAGAAACTTGCATGTCGGTCTTCAAGAGACTAGCGCACCAGCGGGCAGCAATACTTGATTAAGGCGAGAGCGCTCAGTTATCGCAGGTACGCGGTAGCGTAGCGACTGTATCCGACAAATACTGTAACTTCCTGTGTACGAATCACTCGTTTCCAACACCGTCTCTGATGATGGGTTCAAGTGAGAATCCGAAAGGTCGGACGAATAAGGCCCTTGTTGCAGCGATCGCCTCCAGTCTACCTTGTATTTGCCGGTAATGCTATTCAGCCTGCATTATGCGTCGCAGTGCGACAGCCGACGGGGCTACAGAGCGAACCCCAAGGTGCTCGCCCTTCCATCATTGTGCAGCGTGGAGTAGATAAGGCAAATGGCGAGCCTCACAATAAACAAATTGATGCCCATGTGACTACTGCAGTGATGACTACGTGGGAAAAGCAGTGGGTGGCGTTGTCAACGAAGGTCAAACAGCTAATCATCAAAATAAACTCCAGTAGAGAAGCATTCCAACCAAAAGACCACTACATGTGACCACAGATCTCCACTGTCAGACGTTATCTAGATGTTTGAAAACTTTTAGGGACAGTAGGTGACAGCGCTCACTTCCGGCATCACAAATCTGACTTGCTCATACAGTGGGCTGGTGCCTTGGATTTGGAGAGAGAGGAAGAATGAGGTTGATGCTTTCGGAAGTTATTCGCCACTATGATCAATCTGACGCGTTTGGGGCTACCACGGTGAGCCAAAAGCCGTGAAGTGGGGGGTTGCCAACTTACGGGATAACTCGAACCTCGCGGCCAGCCCAGCGTGTTTGAGGGCTGAGTGGTGGACTGATGGACAGAGGGTCAGGCTGCAATTGCTCCTTCTTATTGTGGCCTCTATGGCACTGCCCCACCCACTTGGTCCCAAGTTGTTCCTTCTCCTCTCTCATGTGTAAAATCGTAGTTAACGTATGACGCTGACCAAGGGAGTGTCGTGGTACGTCTTGGTGCAGGCTTTCGTCGTGATAGCCACTTGCCCACCCTTCAGCCTCCGGGCTTATTCACTTAGTATTGACACAGAATCCAGATGGGGTAGAATGATGATGAGGAGGATTGTGGTAGATGCAGCGCAAGTTTGCAATCATTAAAAGGAAAGTATGCGCAAGTCACCGTCTATGTACTCATACTGCTGGCTGGACACCGCTGCCGTCCGTCCCTGTCGGTGTCCGATGGCCGCTGTCGCTGCCACCATCGCGGTGTCAGCGGCACCCAAATCAAGATCCTGCACAACCTCGCCTATTTGGGCTGCAGCACCAGAATCCACGACGAATTGGTTCACCGGATTTCCGAATGCAGCCAAGGTTTCGGCCGGCTGTAAAACTCCGCATGGAATCGCCACGGTCTCCACCTTAACACTAGACTGAAGAAGCAGTCATCTTGACGACTTTGTTGTGTGTCGTGTAGACCTGGACGGTCTACGAGAAACAAGTGCAGAAACGCAAATACTTCCAACTTATTTGTCGCCGTCGGATACAAGATCTTACGTCGCAGGACAAGATCCCGAACAGGGAAGTTCTGCAACGGACTGGAATCCTAAGCATTCACGTCATGTTGAAGATGGACAACGAGGATCTGCCAAATCGACTCTTCTACGGAGATTTGACCACGGGTGCTCGCCGACAAGAAGGTCAAATCTGTCACTAGAAGGACCCCTTTGAACCGGCTACAGATCAACCCAAAGACTTTGGGGGACCTCGCACATAACAACCAGCCTGGAGAAGATCAGTGAGGACACTCGACACCGTCTATGTAGCCAGCCAGATCATCGTGGCCAGAGCCAAAATGGAAGTTTGCTAGTCTCCGGCGCCTCTGACCCGTAAAGCCAACCCTCAACCCCTCCCCACCCCCAGCATACCTGCACTGTCTACGGAATTTCCGCGCTCGCATCGGACTCTTCAGACGTCTTCGGACTCAATGCACCAGCTCGACAAGCCCACCCCCTGTCTCGCCTACCACACCTACTCCAACCCCCACGGCATCCACTACAACGACCTCCTCCAACATCTCCGAACCCCGCCGTCGCCGCCTGTTACTGTCATCTCCATCGTCCCTGTCACAACAATGGCAATCACCACAGCTCTCACTCCCTCCACCGAACACAACTCTTTCAATGGCCCGACTGAACTCCAACTACCACCTTCATCCTCACCACTACCATCCCCATCTCCAGCGATGTGGACTGCGTTCTAACCGTCCCCTTAAGATTTCACATTCGTCTCACGCACTGGCCTGGTCGGTCACCTGCGAATCCGTCGTACTGCGACCAGCGCACCAGTGCCAGCAGTCCCACATACGTAATTTAAACCTCTCATCTAAGAGGGCAGTGTGTTTCTCGGTTACTTACCGATGTGGCTCCTCTGCTGCAAGCTTAATTCGAGCCGGATACTATCACAGTGCGCTAAAAGACGTGTCTTGGGAGTTGCCTACTGACGGGATGACACGAACCTTGTGGTCAACCCAGTGTATGTTTGTGGGGTGAGTAATGGACTGATGAACTGAGACTCAGTGGCTCCTTCTTAATGGGACACCTGTGGCATTCACCCACTCCTTGGGATCACGTACATCCCCTGGTCAATTTGTTGTTGTGAGCTAGGTGGTGTGAAGGCATGCCTGTGTGCGGTTTTACGCCAATCCAGCTACCTGTGCCCTCTCCCGCCTACGGGCCGCCTCCCTTTGTTGGAGGAGCACTCGGACGTCAGCTCCAGGTGGGGAAGGCGGAGGAGAAGGAGGTGAGTGCGGTAGATTCTGCGCAAGGCGCTGTCCCCGGCTAAAGAGCACACGGTGGACAACGTCCGCAAACACGGTGGAACTGTCAGGTCAAGTCGTAGTGTGTTGTTTACGCAGGAGTCACATGTCGGCGCCAGCAGGATGTTATGTCTGGCTGTGTGGGACTAGTGATTAGTTGTTTTAAGGGTAGAGTCGAGGTCGCATGATCACAAGGACACACCGGTAAGAAGCCAGGTCGTCCGATGCACGTGATGCTACCAGCGTATGTCTAGCGCAGCCGTGAGTAATTGCAGCTGAAAGAGGTGCCGCTGCTCAGGCCTGAGAAGTGGTGGCGGGGTCTGTCAAGGTCATTGACGGACGAGGTGGCGTCGTAAACAGGGAAGAGGAGGAGGGGAACACTGGATCGGCTACCACAATGGCGGTCTTGATTGCCGCCAGGCGGCCGACAGGAGACGGTCTCCTAAACTACTGCTTAATGAGCAAATAGAATATTGAGGCGAGCTTCGCCTCGAGTTGAAGATCGCCGCAGTCAGCTCCGGGAGACTCCCCGCCAGACAACTGTTTCACTGTGTTGGCAGTCTTCCGTGGGGGCAAGCAGATGATCGAGGTCGGCATTGGTGTTCACAGGAGGTAGTTGACTTTTGACTACTTCATGGATTCGTACGGATGAGCAGTGTCGCTCTGACGTGCTGCAGGCAGGCAGGTTTTTCTTCTCGCAGGCTTCCTTGTATGCACATTCTACGTTCACAAGCCGCGGTCGGTTTGTCGGCATTTTAGGGTGCGCTATCAAGTCCACCTCCTCGCAAACTGTCTAAATAATGTCTCCTCAACTAGAATTGCTCTGTCATCGCAGGTGACGGCCGGCGATAGAGTCGGGGTTAGGGATAGTTTGAGTTCTCCCAACGACGAGTGTCATAGAAGAAGAATTGGAAAAACGGCAAGGATGTATTTCTATACAGACTCATTAAGGGGAAGGTCCTCATCCGTATCAAGTCACTGTAGAAATCACGAGTAGATGAGTAGATGCACTGGTTCTGGGACTGGCGCATTCCTGGCTGACGGAAATTACCATCCAACTTTCCATCGTCTTTGAACAGTAACTGTGTAATTTATTATGCACTGGCAGCCCTGATAATGGCATAGCAGACGCCTGCTATCCTTAAAGTCCAGAAAGGTGACACGTAGCCCTGCGGTTGCCTGTGCTATCACCCTTCAGTGGCCGGCTAACCAATCAATCGTAGACTGAGAGGTATTACCCGTAATACACACACCCCCCTCACATGCGCGAGAGTGTCACATTGAGAAGGAGCTGTGGCAGCCTGACTCTTAGACTTTCAGTCCGTCACTCCATACAAACGCACAAAACTGGGCAGACTGCAAGGTGTCCATCGGCAGCCTTTCAAACCACGGAACTCGGCAGACTTGGCACTTGGAGGTGGCAACTGAGTGCTTGCGATGGATGATGTTGAAGTGTGCTACTGCTGCTGGTGGGAGCAGGTGTAATGGTGCGGAAGCAGTCTGCCGCAGGACTTCGTGAATGCGAATGTGGCCTAACAGACCCCTGCGGCGGCTGAATGTGGGGGGGGGGGGGGCAGTGATGGCAGTTGAGGCAGATGCGTGTGGTGTACAGTGAGTGACGCATCTCATGAAATGTTGGCTGAAACTCTGAAATGGTTTTCCATTAGGAAGGATTACTTAGGTACGGTTGTAATACTGATTATCTTGCGGCATAATCTTATAATATTTCCGACGCGGCAGGATGTCATCTTTGGAATACACTGTCTTTCAAACTCCTGTAGAAACCGCACATGGTAAAAAACGACTACTTATGTTGGATGCATTTATCCCATTAATTTTCGATGGTCTTTCATGTTCAAATATATTTTATAGAAACCCCGAACAAAAATAAGCTTTCTTCCAGTCGTTTGATAGAGAATCACGCCATCTTTATAATTTATGCTCTAAGAGGGAGTATAATTAGGTTTTAAAAAGTTTTATAATTGCCGAATACTTTGGAGCCTGAACAGTCGTTGCCTTAGCGCTTAGTGATTTCAGTCTACAAGGTGCACGCGCTCCGCGTAAAGAAAATCCCATAATTTTCTACGCCTTTAAAAAGATATCATACAGAGTGCATAAAATTTTGCAATGGCTGCGGACTATGTTGTACATTTCATGAGCAGCAATGGTAAACGGACAGGTACGATGTTAGGTGAATGGACATTTCGCGGTCTTAAAAAATCTCATAGTTAGGAACTTTTTTAAACCTAATAATACTCGCCCTTCGAGTATAAAATATAAAGATGATGTGATTCTTTATCGAAGGAGTGGGGTAAAAGCATAGTTTGTTCGGGGTTTCTATAAAATACATTTGGACTTGCAAGACCATCGAAAATAAATGGGATAAATGCATGCTACTGAAATAGTCGCTTTGTTGCCATGTGCGTCTTCTACAGGAGCTTGAAAGGCAGTGTATTCAAAGGCTGACATCCTGCCGCGTCGGAAATATTATAGGATTATGCCGCAAGATATTCAGTATTACCACCGCGCCTAAGTAATCCCCCCTAGTTGAAAACGCATTTCAGAATTTCAGCCAACACTTCATGAGATGGGTCACTCACTGTATGTTGGTGCATCGGGCATTGGTTCGCCAGTCTCTGTGCGACGGATTCGCAAGTGACTGACCAGGCCGTACGGTCGCAATGAGAACAGTTTTGTCCGAATGCACATCACTGGAGTTGGAGGTGGTGGGGTAGGTGTCTGATGTCAGGATTGTGTGCTGACTGGAGCCGCCTCATCAATTGTTGAGGCGGTGGAGGATGGCAGTGGGAGATCAGGAGCACCGTTAGGGTTGGCTATCGACGGGGAGATAGCAGCTGGTGTCGTCCGGGAGCTGCAGTTAGTTCGAAGATGTCCAATAAGACCGACTGGTGCTCGGAACGTCCGCTGACATCGTGGGCAGATCGGAGGGAGATCGAGCGTTGGTATTACGAAGCTGGGGTCAGCTGAGATTTGCGAGCCTTGCGTTTGGCTGTGGCGACGGTTGGCTTCGTAGTTTGCTGCGCCAGTCTTCCCTGTCGGTCGATCCCGCGTGAGGTCGTCTTCTCAGTTGACCGAGCTGATCAGCAGGCGCTTCAGTTAAGTCTTTAGAGTATCCTTGTATTGCCGGACCTGACCTCGTTGGCGGCGGGAACCCGTGGTGACATCTCCATAGAAGAGTCATTTGGGTATGCGCTCGTCGTCAATCAGCACAAGGTGGTCGCTCCACTATGGTACTGACAGTGCAGAGACGTGATGTCAGTCGAAAATGTAAGACTTCAATAATGTTTCTCTTACGCCAGTTAACTGCATGTTTCTGCAACAAAACAAGTGTTCTGGATTAAAAAAAATTACGCATGAGAAAGTTTGAGGTATGTTGACAGAACCGAAATGGCCACTCCACCCCGTTTCACGATGCCGACAAAAGTCCTGCCAAGTTCGTGCCTAGTATGCATCAGTTTATGCGTTCGCCGTCTCCGGTTCCGTCTCAAACTCCACCGAAGGAAACTTATGTCGAAAAAAGCAGGCGGCTCCTGCTCCTGGTGTGATCGTGTGCGCAAGCCACTGAAGGATCGTTGCGTGTACTCCTATGCACTGTCAGGTGGTTTATGGTGCCTCGGCTGACATTGTTAACATTGGCGTGGTCAAGGTTCCTGTTCCATACAAACCGCCGATTTCTCCCAAGAAAGGAAATGTGCTGACACCCTATCCCATGCTTCCCACATCTCCCTTCCCAGTTACCGTCTTTCTGTCCTGTCTAATTGCTATCCCGCCATGTCCGCCACCTCCAATTCTAACCTCCTCCTCCTCCTCCTCCTCCTCCTCCTCCTCCTCCTCAACCAATTCTTGCATCGCAGCAGCACTTTGCCCTCTCTTTCATCCCCTCTCTTGTGTATCGCACACAGTGGACAGCGTGCTGATTTTCTTCGCCATTTACTTACTCGTATCTTTTAGACATTTCCTTCGGTGTCGCCACACACGCAAACCGCCCTCGGCCTGCGTCCAAGCGGCTACTGTAGCTGTCCGCTCTCACTGTCGTCGTCAGTATCGCCGCATACCAATGTGGCCTCCGGTCCACCAAACACACCTGACACAATCTCCCATCTGCGACAGTTTGACGCTCAAACATGTTTTTACACCGTTGCGATGGGCTGACACTGATCGCTTGGGAGGTTTTCAGCTGACGCAGGACAACAAGATCCGCCTTTTGAGCATGGGTAGGACTGTAGAGACTCCCTAATGTGGCCTGCGTTAACATCAACAATGCAACCTCCAAGGACAATGGATAACTCATCGCGGAGGATAAGTTCAGTTATACAATTCTTCGTAGAACCTGCGCACCGGTAAAGGCGGTGAACTGAATCAAGCAAGACGCTGACACCTCCAGCGATTTAAAGTTGCCTTTAGAAAGTAAACTGTCGCAAAGATGATGAAGCGCGTGCCAGTCTTTAAACTAAGAGAAGTTACACTGTGGGGGGGGGGTTTCAGCTGACGCGGGACAACTATATTTTCCCTTCGAGCGTGGTCAGGATTGTAGGGGCTCCCATAATTTGGCCTGCGTTTGGAAAGAAGCGCCTGGATGTATCCGCCTAAACACAGTTCGACCGTCGATTTCAACGATGTCAACAGCGTGCTCCACAGCAGGTTGGGAGCTGGGACTGTGACTTAGGCGTGAATTAGTTTATGGTGATAGTAGACTTGCCCAGCATCTACCGCACCCTCTTCTCCGCCATCTGGACCTGCTGTCAAGACAGAGTCAAGAAGACCGGAAGCGGGCGAGGGCGTAGGTGGATGGCACAGTCGAGTCCGCACCTTGGCGTTCCACTCCACGCCCTCTGGCCCACACAACCAATAGCCAGGTTTGTGATCAACAACAACAAGGGGGGGGAGGGGTGGCAGGGGCCCCCATGGGCGCGACAACTGCCAACAACCGAGGTCCGCCACCGCACCCCGAAATGTTGGCATTTGTTGTGGTGCGCAAATCCGATAACACCTGCCAGAGTCCAATATGGCCCCCGTGTTGGTCCAGCGCGTCTACCACGAGGCCCGTCTGGGGAGAACATCTGCCTAGACGCCTGCAATACAAACTCCTAGGACAATGGATAACTCATCGCGGGGGATAAGTTCAGTTAGGCACTATTGCGTGGAATCTAGGCACCGACATTATTCAGCACTCGGTGAGCTGAATCGAGCAAGAGACCGACGCCTCCAGTGATTTAAAGTCACCTGTGGAAAGTAAACTGACGCAAAGATGATGAAGCGAATGCCAGTCTTTAAGTTAGGAGAAGTTTCACTGTTTCACGCGGCACATGGCAGGGCTGTGTGATTGTCACTTACAACTTACGTCTGCACCAAAGCAATTTCTACCAAATTACACAAACCAACTTATGTTTATTTATTGTTTAGGTAGGGCAAGGATATGTGCAACCACTACCCTATCTTCCCACAAGGGGTCTTTTTAACGTTTAAAAGGAACATGCAGTGCTAACACGATTTTTTAATTCCTAAAACACTCGAAAAGTCCGATTTACATCTTATTGAAGGCTTCCCTGTCATAGTTCAGTGGGGCACACATATTCGTGAGCGGCCATAGCCTAACAAACTAAATGTTTTGACGTCAGTACAAAATCATGCCTGCTCCTGTGATGTCTGACAATTCGTTCCGATTGCAGACCGAAATACGATCGTTCGGCTTTGTCTTGAGACTTCATTTTATGCCCAAAGCAGGCGGCCACATATAGATTAGCATTCTTTACTAGAGGCGAATTTCCTAGAGTGACGGGAGAGAGAGAGAGGGGGAAGTAAAGTGAAAATCTCTAACTTATTTCCCTCGTCCGTCAATTAATCACTAAGTTCGTGATAACTCAGTGCTCGCATTTGGACTACATTAACAGTTTTGGATGAGCGTCCTAGCAATATATCGAGAGTTAGTTAGCTTGAAGAAGGAGACACGATCGCCGGGACAAGAGCTTTATTAGCCTGACGTTTCGGATTCCTACTCGAATCCATCATCAGAGACAAGAAAGCAGAAACGGGTGGTTGTTGCACAAGGGGCTGCAGTATTTATAGGATGCAGTAGCCATGCTACCGCATACCTATGGACGTTCACAGCTCCCCCCCTTCATCCGGGATCGTCGTACTTGGTGTGATCACTGCTTGATGGCCGACATTCGAGTCGATAATTGCTGCAATTTCATCACGTGCGTTGGATGTTGGCGTGATGATGGCTCGACCATCTGACGAATCGACCCCGGTGTTGGGATGAGTGATCACCTCTGCGCTCCCCGCATGGCTTGTTGCTCCGCCTAGGCGAAGTTTTAGCACGCAGTATGGAGTGGGAAGATCGTTTCTGACACCCGACCCCATGCGCCCCATATCTCCCCTACTCGCAGCCCTGCTCCTAGTTAGTTAGCTGTTATCTGGAGTACTCAGAATATACATAAGCAGCTCACTAAGAGTGTAACAGGCCAGGCGCAGACAGTTGTATAAGGGTCGTTACTGACCATCAGTACGTCATAGGCCTTATGAAGTGGGGTATATGAACATGCCAAGTAGGCGTGTGACCCTCGCTGTTGTGGTTAGAATCTCACTCGATCCCATTCTGTTCGCCCACCGGCTTGCTACTGGCGACAACGAACGAATCTGTCATAGGACAGATTCGTACGGTCGCGCTCGCAGAGCTTGTCCGATTCTAAGTCTTTGGTGGGAGAGGACTGGCTGTTGACGGCATGTGAGTTGGAGCTGAGCTGAGTTCAGCGCATATAATGCACCAGACCGTCTACAACAGACGACACAACCTTGTACGAGGAAACAATAGACCGAAATAATTGTGTCGGACTAAGACCCACTTAAATAAGTATACAAAGTATTCTTTCTATGCCACAGATGCTTGGGAGCCTTCAACCGATCCTTACCGAAAATTTACTTGCAGACACACTGTGAACACGTCTTGGTTCTGTCAGTTTCCGGATTCGTGACAACGCAATAACTGGGCACAATTTACTACCTATCCCTGCCAACTTCTCTTTTAGTTATTGAATTACACTGAAGTATATTAGGCAAATAACAAGACGACGAGCCCGTGGCTCAGTGGTTAGAGACGTTGGAATTCT